ACGCCGCTGAGATTAATTACGAGATTAACTGCCACGTCAAATGACCGCGACGAGGTGACGCCAAACGACATTCATTGTTATATACATACCGCGCGGAAAGAGAGAATGAGAGAGAGAGAGAGGGGGGGAGAGAAAGACATAAAATTTCTCATGCATTCAATTATAAATGAAATTTAAATATTCTCACACTTTGAGAAATATTAACTTTTACAGGACGGAAATGGCAATATATTGGCGTTGCCTGTTTTTCATATTGTAAGCACGTTGTAATTTCTATGCCTGCATGCTCTTATTGTTGATACTTATTTTGTCGGACGTTAATACTTAATGATTTTGGATTTGTATTTCTTTCCGATTCGCGATTGATAGATAGAAAAATAAATTTTCGTATAAATGTTTTCGACTTTGAATTTAAATAGTATATATTTTGAAGAAATGAATTTAGAATAGTATATATTTTTGAGTGGCAATCGTGGCGCGAGGAGTTGCGCGGCAGCTTTCTGTGCCAAAGATCCAGGTTTAAATCAACCCGGAACAATATAACTAACAAATTGATTTTAATCGATTTGGAAACGATCATCCTCTCGGAAGGCAAAACCACCGAGAGTATATTTCTGCCAAAAAAGCTCTTTTAATAGGCCGTTCGGAACCGACGTAAAAAACTGTAGGTCCCACATATCTACGGATATATGCAGAGAAGTCGCCTACGCCTGAGGAACCGGATACGGTACATGAAGAAAATTTTCTTAAAAAAAACTGTATACCTATATTTCTGCTTCATACACATCTGGAATTTGTTTTATTGATTATGTTTATTGTTATAAAATATAAAATAATGAATAAAACAAATCCTAGTTCGTGTATGTAGTTACATGAATATGTGTAATTTTTTTTTCTTTTAAAAATATATTTTAAATTCAGTGAATTCAAAAACCATTTTTAACAAATTCTTTAACGATTTGACAATTTTTAAGTATTAATGCTAAGTAATGCCATATAAGAGGACAGAACACCAATATATCTCTGAACAATCATGTTTTAAGGCAATAAATTATAATAACACTTAAAGAAAAGCTATAAGATTTAAACAATCAACCCACCCGTTCTTTGAAGGTTAATAGAACTGTATAAAATTTATATATCCTATCTTTAAATATAGTACATTTTTTTATACATCCTTGTATAACTTTTGTATATTCTTATATGTCTCTTTAATAGTTCATTTCTCGTATATATGTATATATACTACATCGAAATGGTATTCGTCCGTCGCGCACACATACACATCTCGAAAAGTCAAAGCGCTCTTTTCGCTCATTATCCGCTTAACTCGCGACGGCCGACTAATCAGCGCTATTAATTGCGATAATTGCCGCGTTTTGACCGCCTCGACCGGAGAGCGGCGCCAAATCGTCAGTCCCCGACGGCGTTTAAGAATGCGAATCCCTCGTACGTTCCCGCTAGCCGTCCTGTGTGTCTACCTTCGTGATATTTATGCCGCCACTTTATCGCGAAGTAGCGGCTGGTTTGCGCGCGATAAGAGATACCTGGTGTATCCGCCGCCCGGAGACTACGCCCCGACGAAAGTTCAGGTATGTATTGTACAAGTTTACCAGGTTCCAAAGATTGATCTTAAACAAAACAAAGAGAGAGACTGTATGAAAGATCGCGCGTTGGACCGATATTTCAAGCGAGAGACCGTCAAGGGATATTGCTAAATAAAAATGTAACTGAGATTTATTTTCTTTTTATTTTTAATAAGTACTGCAGTTGTGTAATTGCATATTTTAAATACACGCTATTAGAAATGTCGCACTTTTTTTTGATCAACTGATTGTGCTTCACATGTCAAAATTTTTCTTGTGAAATTAAGATTAGAATCAATAACAATCAAGACTGCTCTGGCGCGGTGTGAGAGAGACACCTCGATTTTTCTTCGTTTAATTCAGGGAAAAGCCCTCGACCGAGTTCACGTTTGACTTCTAAATTAAATAAAAGTTAAATAAAAATCGGCCTGTTATCGTGTTATTCGGATCGTTTTGTACAATCTCGACGGCGGGCGACACGTTTGATGGAGGATCCGTCCGATATCGCCGGGCTATTCGAATCACAGAGTTTTGGGACATCCATTTTCCGATCTAATTTCGTGTGGTTGAACCTGGCGATCACTGGCGGCACGGGGGAGAGCAGGCGGAAAGAGCGCGCGCG